GGAGGACCATGGGTTAGAACCGGCCTATAATACCTACTTAGCTGCAGAAAATGTAGCAAAAGAAAGCTGCAAAGAAGCCACAGCATTGGAAAAAAAATTAATTCTCGAGCAAGCTGAGAACATGGAACAGCAATTGTAAACACCACGAATATACATAGAATATATATAGATTATTGTCTAATTTATAGCTGATCCCATATGTAACAAATTTAAAATTTACTGTAAATATTAAGCTCAAAAACAAAAACGCTCATTAAACGATAGAAACGACTAGAACGCATTATGGACTATTGTCAAAACACGTCCCAGTCGTTCTTTTCACTTAATAAACATTTTCGCTCTTTCAGCTTAATATATAAATACATAATATACATTAATCTTCTTCTAGATAAAAGCAATCAGATTCAAAATGTGTTAAATATAGGATTATTAATTAGATAGTAGTACTGATTTAATTTATGAAATGAAATATAGCTACATCAATAGTTATGAATGAATATTGTGACTTTTTGATAATTTAATGAATTAATTTCTTGAATGTGTTCTAACATTCTAAATAATAAATATTTCCATTAGTTCATATTTTTCGAATTACTAAAATGAATATCGTACAAGTAAACTAAAAAAAAATATATATACTAATTTAATTGGTTATTGAAAAAATTAGCACATTAGGAAATATTATTGAAAATTGTAAAATCTGCTACAAAAAAATTTCAACTGTATATTTTCAAATTCGTCAAGTCTACATATGTCTTTTATATTTAATAACATATTATCTGTCGACTAAATGCCACAATTATACATACATATACACCTTGATAATTTTTATATGAATGCATAGTGATTATATTTTTGTGTAAGAAAATTTTGTAATCATTAAAACAGACATAAACATGAATTGCGTTTTTCTTTACAAAAAAGTAAAAACGTATATTTTTCCTTTCTCATATTTTCCTTCTTTCAATTTAGGCCGGCAGAATTCCAGTCGAATTTATCATCAAACGTCAAATACAAAGTGGATCTACTATTATTAATTTGAAATCATCACACAAGTCAGAGTCATTTCATGAATCTGTTACTTTTAATGATGTGATACGTATTATAGTTTCATATGATATGGGATGGAGTACAAAAGGTGCAGGACGAAATTATGAGTTCGAATGGCTTTGGAGCTATTATTGGAAAAGCGAGCGGCATGGTTTTGGATTATTCGACATGCAATAGAAAATACAAGAAATGTGATACAAACAGTAAAGTACCAGATCATGATTGTCATAAAAATTTCGATGGTTCTGCCAAAGCAATGGAACCCTATGTAGTCAAAAAACTTGTAGTCGATAGTTCTATACTTAAGTCTCAGAATGTTGAGGTTGGAGTTTTAATAGGAGATAGCTCTACTATTACAGCATGCCGAGCTGCAAGCGATCATCCCATTATCAAACAGTCAGATACCAATCACACTGCAGGTGGAATGAAAAAACGATTATACGGTATTCAGAAGAACCATAAAGAGCTAACGAAAAATTGTATCACATATCTCCACAGATGCTTCACGTACGTTATGGCGCAGAGGTAACAGCAAAGCTATGGCCGATACAGTACGTATCATTCCTCTCCATGTGTTTAATGATCACAGTAAATGCGGACTATGGTGTGGTTTTATTCAAAACCCGGAAAACTAATAAATAATACCATGAGGATTTCATGATCCACAACTGTTATCAGCGCTTCAGGAAATTGTGACGATCCAGAAAATCGTCACGACGTTAGAAACATTATTTATAATATTGTTGCGAGCGCGTCGCAGTATTGCGAGCGCGTCGCTCCTGAAGTCCGCGGATTGCAAACCGGGATACGTAGCAAGGGTTGCTACGTGAGATTGGCTTGTTTGTTGACAACAGCTGAGAGGAGAGTCTCTCGACAGCCTGCGAACGTGTGAACGTGTGGCTTGAATAGAGAATTTATATATCACGTTGCTGTTGCTTTATAATAAAGTTCTTGTTCATTTCTATATTCGCGTGTCTGGTCTCTCTCCGCGCCCGCGAGTGTAACATTTTTGGGGGCTCGTCCGGGATATAGAGAGATTGGAGACGCGACGTGAATTGTTTGCGATTGTTTACGCGAGTTCGTGAAAGTGATAATAAGGAGAATGATACATTCACCGATGCTTACTCGGAGTCAAGCATCGACATCGGTTATGGAGCAGGGAGCGTTGCACATTGCGGAGTCGGAGGAGATACGGGACCTCACAAAATCTAATAAAGGAAAGCGAAACAGAAATATTGAAACGACGTCGGGATTAGAAAGGGAAGTTCCAGTGACGACGGAGACTGCGACATTGCAGGCTGCATTAGAAGAGCTGCGGTCCTTGCGAGCGGAGAAAGAGCGGGAGCGGCTAGAGCTTCAAAAGTTGCGCCAAATTGATCGGAGAAATTTTCAAGGCCAGTCTTTTCCAATATTTAGGAATAATTCAGAATTAAAACCAGATACTTTCGACGGAATCGTTCCGCTGCATGAATTTTTGTGTCAATTTAATTTAATAGCGCGTGCAAATAATTGGGACGATGTTTATAAAGCGGTTGCTCTGGCAGCAAGTTTAAGGGGAGGAGCGCGCTCAGTTTTAGATAAGGTAGAAGAAAATTTAGATTTTAAAGAAATTTGTTTACGTTTAGAATTGCGTTTTGGAGAAGTAGGTTCATTTCAAAATTTTTATACTCAATTTTCGAATAGAAAACAAAGAGAAGGAGAGGATTTTGCTTCTTTTGGTTCGGAATTGGAACGGTTAGTTTATAAAGCATATCCAGAATGTACGTTTGAAGTAAGAGAGAAAATCGCTTGTGCGCAATTTATAGTAGGGTTAATAGATGGTTTTGTAAAACGAACTCTTCAATTAGAAAACGTTGTTTCATTGAGGGTTGCCATAGAAAGGGCAAAAATTGTTAAAAGTATTCAAGAAAATAGTTTTTCTAATGTTATAAAATTTAATTCATTTAATTTAGAAAGTAGGAGGAATTTTGAAAGAAATTATACAGGCAACAACAATTTTAGGGAAAATAAAGGTAATTTTAAAAAAATTATTGGAAGGGGAGAAAATTCTTTAGATTCTCAAAGAAAATTAATTGGGAAAATGAATAATGATAATAAATGTTGGCAATGTGGAAGTTTTTCACATTTTCGAGCGGAATGCCCAACTTTAATTAATGCTTTTGAAAAAAAAGGGAAAACTGAGTTTTGTCGAATGGAACGGGGCTATTTCGACAAAAAGAGTAAAATCCTTAGTTGATTCTAGTTTAAAACGCGTTAAAAATAGAGATACTTTTTGTTTTAATAGACTATTGGATGGAAAATGTTGTAAATTTAAAATAGATACAGGTTCGGATGTTTCTATTGTTAATAGGAAATTTTTTGGAACGTCGGAAAAGTTTTGTCCAGTTACTAATAATCGTTTAATTTATCCTTCAGGAGTAGTTCCTGTTTATTATCAAGCAAAGATGAATGTCCAGTTAGAAAAAATTTTGGTAGATCTGTCCATGTTTGTTATTGACATGGAAGATGATTGTTTGTTAGGAAATGATTTCTTGTCTTTTACTAATTTGGAATCTTGTTTTTATTCAAAGTTAGGAATTTCTCATTCGGGAATGATGCAAGGAAATTTTGCTTGCAAGCGGATTATTTGGGAAGAGAAAGTACCTGTATTTTTACTAAAATTGTTTAAACGGGATTCAGAACATTTGAATTTTCGACAGAAAGAAAAGTTTGCTAAAATACTAGTTGAATTTCAAGATGTTTTTTCAGAAGAGATTGTAGCCGGAAATTGTAATTTTTTAGAACATAAGATTGAGTTAATTAATTCACGTCCTATTAAACAAATTCCTCGACGAGTTCCTTTACATTTACGTGCTGAGGCGAATAGGGTTATTGAGGAAATGAAAAATAAAGGTGTTATTGAAGAATCTCAGAGTCCTTGGATTTCGCCGGCGGTTTTGGTAAAAAAAAAAAAGATAATTCTATTCGTTTTTGTGTAGATTTTCGAAAGCTAAATGTTGTAACAATAAAAGATTCTTTTCCTATTCCTCGTATTGATGACACTATTGATCAATTATCAGGGAATTCTTGATTTTCAACGTTGAATTTAAAAAGTGGTTATTGGCAAGTGAAAATTCGTCTAGAGGATAGAAGGAAAACAGCGTTTTCAATAGGAAAGGGGTTATGGCAATTTACAGTTTTACCAATGGGTTTGTGTAATGCTCCAGCTACATTTGAAAGGCTCATGGAGCAAATATTGCAGGAAATGTTGCATGAAATTTGTTTAGTTTATTTGGACGATGTGATAATTTTTGGGAAAACATTTGAGGAAATGGTTGAACATTTAAAGATCGTTCTATTTAAATTTCGTTCTTCGGGTTTGAAATTAAATCCAAAAAAATGTGTGCTTTTGAGAAATTCGGTAAAATATTTAGGTCATGTTGTTTCTAAAGAAGGTGTTTCTACAGATCCGGAAAAAATTTCTGCTTCCAATTGGCCAATACCTCAAACTAAAAAACAGTTACGTGCTTTCCTTGGGTTCTGCTCCTATTATCGGAAATTTGTTAAAGGTTTTTCTATAATTGTTAAGCCTTTATTTGTCCTTACGGAAAATCAATCAAAATTTATTTGGTCTAGGCAGTGTCAGGAAGCTTTTGAAAATTTGAAACGAACTTTAACAACTTCTGTAGTGTTATCTTTTCCTTTGGAGCAAGGTGAATTTATTCTTGACACTGATGCTTCAAATTTTGGTATTGGTGCAGTTTTATCCCAAGTTCAGAATGGTCAAGAGAAAGTTATTGCTTATTTCAGTCGTGTTCTAAGTAAATCTGAAAGAAATTATTGTACGACTCGTAGAGAATTATTAGCTGTAGTAGAATCGGTTAAATCTTTCAATCATTATTTGTACGGTCAAAAATTTTTAATAAGAACGGATCATGCTTCACTAAAATGATTAATGTCTTTTAGGGATGTTGAAGATCAATTGGCTCGTTGGATTGAGAGGCTACAACGTTATGATTTTGAGATTCATCATCGTAAAGATTTGTGTCATGGAAATGCAGATGGTCTTTCAAGACGTCCATGTATAAAAGAAAATTGTAGGTATTGTTCTAGAATTGAGTCTGGTAGAGAAGATAAAGAAGAAGTCGTTTTAGGGGAAATACTTTTAGGGGAAAAATTTTTAGGGGAAAAATTTCAAATAGACTGGCGGAAAATGCAGTTAAAAGATTCTAATGTGTCAGTGGTTTTGCGAGGAGTTGAATCTGGTCGCTGTTTTTTGAAGAAGGAAATTTTAGATAATGATATTTCATTAAAAGTTTATATTTCTCATTGGGAAAATTTAGTTGTAAAAAATGGTATTTTGTTTAAAAAATGGCTCCAAATCTGAAATCTAGTGTTTTACAGATAATTGTTCCTCGAAGTCAAGTTAAATCAAAGAAATTTTGGAAGAAGCTCATGATTCTCCTTCTGGTGGTCATTTTGGAATAAATAAGACTCTTGATAGAATTCGAAAACAATTTTATTGGGCTACGTGTAAAAGAGATGTGGAAAATTGGTGTAGATCCTGTGAAGTTTGCATTTCTAAAAGAGGTCCTTCGGATAAAGGAAAATCTCCGTTGCAAATTTTTAATGTAGGAGCTCCTTTTGAACGTCTTCAGATGGATATTTTAGGTCCATTGTCTTTATCTTCTTGTGGAAATAAATATTTGTTGGTTGTGGTTGATTGTTTTTCAAAATGGGTAGAAGCTTTTCCTTTAAAAAATATTAGATCTAGTACGGTGGCAGAAATTTTTGTAAAGGAAGTGATTTCTAGGCATGGTGTACCTTTAGAATTACATACTGATCAAGGTAAAAATTTTGAGTCAAAACTGTTTCAAGAATTGTCTAAATTATTAGGATTTAGAAAAACAAGAACTACTGCTTTTCATCCTCAATCTGATGGTCAGGTTGAATGTCAACACCAAACGATTTTGCAGTATTTATCTAAATTTATTTCGGAGAATCAGAAAGATTGGGATCGTTGGATTCCTATGTTTTTGTTGGCATATAGGACTTCTAAACATGAAGCAACAGGATTTTCTCCTGCAGAGTTATATTTTGGTCAAGATTTAAGATTGCCGTTGGATTTGTATCGTGGTTCTCCTCCTTCGGATTGTGTTAATCATAATTCAAGTAATAATTATATTTTTAATTTGCGGGAAAGATTAGATGAGATTCATCGACGTGTTAGAAGTTCAATGAAGATTAGGATAATAGAGTTAAGGCATGTTATGATCGGAATTCGAGAAATTTTTCTTTTGAAGTAAATCAGAAGGTTTGGTTATACAATCCTCATAGAAGTATAGGAAAAGCACCAAAGTTACAAAGTTTTTGGAAGAATCCTTATGAAGTTGTTAAGAAAATTAGTGATGTAGTTTATTGTATTCGTCATTTTCGAAAACATAAAAATAAAATAGTTCATTTAGATAGGTTAGCTTCTTATTATGGGAGGGATTAATTTTATTTTTATAGAATGATATCTAAATTTACTGAAATATACAATTTATTGGAAGAATATTTGCTTGTTTTTTTTTTCATTTTGTATTGTTGCAGTTAATGCAGTTAATGCAGCTGTGGTGCATCAGCTGGTAGTCTTCACTTCATCATCAACTCAGAAGTCCACTTTGCTTACGGGTTAGTTAGGTTTGGTTTTTTCCCGTAGGCCTTTGCTGTGAGCAAAGGGTAAATGCCAAAGTGGGGACTTGGGGAGATCTCCTTTGGGAGATCGTTGGGACCATGAAAGTTATTTCCCCCCCCCCTTGTCTGAAGATCCTGAACAAGGAAGGAACGAGAGTGAACAAGGACTTAGCAGAAATGGGAAACTTTGGCTGTCTTCACTGTCTTCGGATGGGGATTCAAGGTTCCATAGGATCTACAGCAGCAGCTGAGGTCAGGACGCAGACAGAACCCCGGAAGATACGGAAGATACACGTTTTCGTTAATTGTCGGGACGACAATTGAAAAGAAGGGAGGCAGTGTTGCGAGCGCGTCGCAGTATTGCGAGCGCGTCGCTCCTGAAGTCCGCGGATTGCAAGCCGGGATACGTAGCAACGGTTGCTACGTGAGGCTGGCTTGTTTGTTGACAACAGCTGAGAGGAGAGTCTCTCGATAGCCTGCGAACAGTGTGAACGTGTGGCTTGAATTTAGATATCACGTTGAGAGAATTTATATATCACGTTGCTATTGCTTTATAATAAAGTTCTTGTTCATTTCTATATTCGCGTGTCTAGTCCCTCTCCGCGCCCGCAAGTGTAACAATATTAACAAATAAACGTCGAACAACCGCGCGCGGGATAACCGCAAGGTCAACAAACAGCCTCACTGTTTGTTATAATTTAGTATAAAAGGCCTTTACAATCCTACGATCGCGAACGCATACAGGGCGTAAGATACCGGTGACGACGAGCGCCTTTAAACCAGCCAGGTTAAAACCAGGGTAAATAAACAGCTTAAAGCCGACGAGGCAACGAACTCCAAACGACGAACAATAGCATATCAGGAAACTTTCCCGACCGCGTCCCGCCGGACGCTCGCAGCTGATCGCGAGACGACAACATCGGCTCCCGACGAGAGCAAAAACGCGACCACGCGCCAACGGCGTAACGTCGCATGTAAATAATTGTACATAGCTTTGAAATTAGAATATAGTTCCACGTTATTATAACCTACACCACTGCTTTTCATTTCACAAACGAAACCCGGACCACACCGACTAAGACTATCCCACACGTAACGCAAGGCCATTACAAAATATTTCATAAACTAGCTGACAATGCAGAAAAGTATTCAACAGCTGCATCTAGCAACGTTAATGAAAGTCTCAAAGCTACAATGGCAAGCAAAGCCCCGAAATCCAAATGTTACAGTACGTCTGCGTCCGCCGACTTTCGATTTGCGTGTGCTGTTGGTAAGAAAAATATCGGAGAAGGTTACACGCAAGAAATTGCAAAGAAAGTACATTTGTCACCGGGTAAACATCATTCGTAACAGATTTCAATAGTACAAAAAACTGCAATAAAGAGACGAGCATTAATAACATCTTCTGCTTTCAAAAAAAGATGAATGATTCTGAAGAAGTTGCGAACAGCTTTACGTTATAGAAAAGAAAATGCCGAGGGTGTTACATATCAGAGTAACTATTCTCTTCTCAATGAACCAGCAGTGGAGTTCGAGAAACATTATGAAATGGATGTGACAGAAGAGGACAACGATGAGAACGCCATTATTCTGTTGGATTTGAAAACCTCGGGCTTCGAAATGAATTGTGATATTTTACAGATTGGTGCGAAATATAACAAAAATAGTTTTTCGATTTATGTTAATCCCGTACGAGATATTTCCGAGAATGCCACTCGTGTCAATGGGTTTACGACTAACTATGGAGAATTGCTGTACCATGGAACAAAAGTTTAATCAGTACCTCTGAGAGCAGCCTTAGGATGTCTATGAGATTGGTTGAAGTTCCTTGAAAAACGATGTTATATTGCTACTCACAATCTTACTTTTGATGGTCCTAGATTGCTAAAAGCTATCAATAAGTATGGTTTGATCAGTGAATTTTCTGAAATAATATATGGATTTATTGATACACTGAATGTTATCAAAAATATTACTGGTCGAAAAAGTAAAAGTCAATGTTCGATTAGCGGGTTAGCAAACTGGTGCAATATCTCCACAGTTGGAGTACACAATGCTTTACATGACTGTGAAATTATGCAAAAAATTTTTCAGAAGTTGAAAATTACAAAAGAGACATTATTAAAACATTCAAAGACTTTTACTGAACAAATAGATTATTGGAATTCACTGGGAAAAATGAATAGAATATTACAGACGTTAACACCTCTGCAACATATAGGACTATCAATACGTAAAAAATTAGCGATGGCTGAAATCGACATAAATATGCTACAAAATTCTTATGAAACTTCTGGTACTGATGGGATTTCTAAATTACTTCAAAACAAAATAAAAAATAAATTGCTGCAAAAACTTCAAGAATTATCGATAAATAAAATAATTGAATCCGTCGAAAAGCATATTAATAATAAAAAACTAAGTCAAATTTTATCTACTTAAACCAAAGTATTTAGTTTTTTATATTATTAGATATATAAATCTTTATATTATTGAAAAATTGTTGTTATATTTATCTGTGTAATTTTCTCTGTTTTCTCTTTAAATTATTTTATCATTTATGTTACTAGTGGATATAATAATAAAATTGTTTATGCCGCTATTTTGCAAAATTATTGCTTTTTTTCTATATCATTTACCCAGTTATCAGATTTAGTTTTCAGATTTGAACTGAGTACATTCTTTATCTATTTCCGATATGTGTTTCTTTCATATACACCATGAAAACCTCTAATATCAAATTTACCCTGTTCCTTATCAAAATCAATTTTTATTCTTATCCTCTAAAAAACAATGTAGACAAAATGAAATTTTATGACATGACTCTATCGTACTGAATTAAAGGTTATTCGCTTAGCACGTTCAGCTGATTGCGACGTTGCCGCATTTTTCAGTTTAGTCATTGACCTGTTATACAAATTGCAAACTTACTATGAAAAATAATTAATTTCTCTGCAACCGTGTTGTGAAAACTAATCCAATTTCGCAAAAAAAACTCCAGTAATTCGAGGTCTATACGTATAAAAAAAAATTATAATTTTGGTAGTATTTTTTCTATACTTTTCTTAGTCGTAACATTCGAGAAAATTGCGTTTCTCATAAGAACACGTGTAAAATCACCTATAATTAAAATAATGATTACTTTCTAACGGTATAGTGAATCTACTTGAAATTTTTTTCAGTATATTATAGATAACAAAAGAAGAGTTTTACGAAGTTTCGTCAACTTGGTACTATTTTGAGAATAACTCAGATACATCCTTAAGTTTCTTATAAAGAAACTTTGGGCATATATTTGATACTTTTTTCTTTTTTTAAAAGTAAGTATTCACATGAGATAATCATTGGGAAAACAATACCTGAGTGAATAGTACAATAGAAGACTATAAGCTTTTCTATATCATTCCATATTCTAAGGTTAAATTATTCAATTTTGCTACTTTTAAACACATTGTGTTGTATTATATTTTTCTAAATTTAGATAATGTTTCGTGTTAGCTCGTTATTAAAGAGATGTAAGACAGAAATATAATGTAGTGCGATTTGATATTAGATTATTTATTTTGGTAATCGTACTTATATACTTTCGCTATCACTACACATCGTCGCGAACAATATAATAACTTTGTCCGTGTACATGTCGCCGAGATTGTAATTCTTCATTAGCCGCATAGTTATGTACATCTCGATATTTCATTGCTTCTGTTCACGGCATCGTAGTATGCATATTCGAAATAATATACACTTACATGTCTAAATATTGATTATAAATAATATCGCGATGAACGAGATATGTCTTAACAAAGATAAGACGTCTTACATCACGTGTTTGTGACTGTCGACCACTCAATTGTAACGGGTATTTACGCTAAATACTTAAGGGATTCATAAATATTGGACGTTAAGCGTCGGCCTATACGGAATATAAACATATTTTTTAAAAGATAAGTACATTCAATAACGTAACCATGTCGCTTTATTTACCAGAATTATTACTACGTAATAACGTAGTCATATCGCTTTTTTTACTAGAAGGTATCTCGGACTGTTACTGTCGCTTTATAATTTATGCAGCGATATACGGGCCTCGATGTATATTCTTAAATAAAGCGTATTATTTTTCTTAAGTTTAACTTGCAACGCGAATGAAGGAATGTTTCGTGTGCACATATATATGTAACGATCCGCATAAGCAATCGTTACTGAACGATACAATGGAAAACGCATAACAACACGAGCGTAGAAAAAAAACGAGAGAGGATAGCGCGTCCTGTTAAGAATAAACAGACCGCCGAACATCAGCGGATCATAGCGAATCAAGAGTGATTCGCAAAATATAAAACGCCGCGAATTCTTAGATAGAGATCAAATCCAATCCACTGCTCTTTCGAGAGAATCCGATTCCGATCATCCACCCTTTAGAGAGAACCACAAACACAGATTCCTAGTGGATTTCTGCTCGCGAATACGCGACAGAAATCACTCCGCCGTCGAGTCACGGATACGTGACATCGGCATTGTTTCAAACACCGTTCCAGCAGATTGTTGCTCGCGGATAAGCGACAAGAATCACTCCGCCGTCGGTGCACGAATGCGTGTCACCGACACTGTTTAAACCTGTTCGCTCCTGGCAGACTTTCGTTCGCAGATACGCGACAGAAGTCACTCCGCCGTCGATTCACGAATACGTGATACCGACACTGCTCCGAATACCGTTACTGGTAGATTGCTGCTCGCGGATACGCGACAGGAATCACTCCGCCGTCGGTTCACGAATACGTGATACCAACACTGCTCCGAATACCGTTCCTGGCCGATTGCTGCTCACGGATACGCGACAGAAATCATTCCGCCGTCGGCTCACGGATTCGTGACGTCGACACTGAGAACTACCGTTATCCGCAAGTTTCCACGGCCACCGGAATGCCTGGAATCAAACAACCGGAAGGGCGCTTAATGCAATCTCGTCTTCGCCTTAGAGCGAGCAAGATCACACGTTGTCAAACAGGGTTGGGCACGTATTATACTTAACGTATTATACATTGGTTATATACACGTATGAAACTAGATATAATACGTCCTAGGTTTCATACGTATCATAAAGTGGCGCCACCATAGTAATACGCATGTGCAACATGCAACGCATGTTGAATTTGCTCTTAGCAATTTCCGTTGCTTCATGTACAATTTTTGTTAGTGCATCTCTTGTTTCTCTTATGCCACTTAAGTCCCATGAATTCAGATACATACTCTTGTCCATTATTGTGTGTATTGTACAGACAACTAGTTTGCTATTAGCAGCAGAATTCTTCCAACCATCGATTAACAGTACACCTAGTGTTTCATGTTCTTTCACAGCTGCAGATGTTATTTCACTGTGAACTTTATCTAGCAATTGATTTGAAAGCTTTTTTCTTGATGGAATTTGGTAATCTGGATTTAGGAGTTTTATAAACTCCTTAAACAAATTGGACTCAACAACATTAAAAGATATGTTGCAGCCAAAGAAAAATTTTGCCAAAGCTAAATTAATTAATTCATCTGAATTAAGATGAGAACGTTTCAACTCGTATTTGGCTTGTTTCATTTTATCCGCGCTCATTATAAAATCTAAAAGAATAGAAAGAAATTGTCAATATCTAACAATTTATTTGGATTTATGGGCTGTAATAGTTACTTACTTATATTATTTTTTCGTATATTATTCGTATATTTCATTCATATATTATTCGTATATTATTTTTGAAACACTTTATTTATATAACAACTTATTCGATTATTTATTAGGTTAGAATTTCGCTTTTAACGACATAAGACGGAATAAGGCCAGATCTACAATAGGTGTAGTAAGCTTTAAGCCATAAGAAATTGATCACAGTTAATTTGACTGAGTCAAATATGAGAAGAATACTCGACTATGATTGGTCAATTTCTTACGGCTTAAAGCTTACTACATTTATTGTAAATCGGGACTTAGAATTTTGATATATATAATATATTTCATACGTTTCATACGTTTCTATAAGTATTATACGTTTCATACATAAAAAACGTAAGAAACCATTCGCGGCGCCAAATTGCCCAACCCTGTTGTCAAGTCGCAGCGTGCGACCTCATCACCGTATACTCGAAGCTCGCTTCGTTGCGGCGCAGCTTCGACACCGCGCCAAAAGGATCCGCGTCAGAATCACACCGTCGTCGACTCGCAAGGACGCGAGTCGGCCTCCATAGTACTAGAAACCAATCTCCGGAAACAAGATCGGAATCATTCCGTCACCGCGATGCATAGGCGCATCTGCGGCACCGTCTTTACCGCATCTGCGATCTTGCTAGAACGAACCGGTCTCGTTAGAGGACGAAGGCAGATCAGCCAGCTAAGGTTCCGCGTACAAAGGCGGACCACTGCACAGAATACGCTGACCCGCACCGAATCTCCGTGATAGGAGAGGAATAGTATCGGAGGTACCGTCACCGAGGTGATACACCGTATACAGCTCCGCTGCAATACCACCGGCGTACCACCTGTACTGTACTATAGCAAATAGTAGCAAAACTAGCAGAAAGAAATTGTCAACCGGGATTAAAGAGGCGAACAGCTGAGAGCGTTAACAGACGAACTCACGACGCGACAACAAAACCGTCTACGTCCTGCGCACCGCACGTAGCATCTCGCGAACCATCGCCTAAACAAGGCCTCGGACAGATTGTATATAACTCGACAAAAACGAACGGCGTCGACATTCAAAATCTGATATTAATGTACATCGTCATTTGAT